ACATTTCTAGGGCTATATCCCAAATGGGAAAAAGACCCACATGTACAAAAATATTTATAGCAGCTTTTTTGTGGTGGCAAAGAATTGGAAATTAAGAGGATGCCTATCAATTGGGGAATGGCTGAACAAGTTGTGGTATATGAATGTGATGGAATATTATTGTGCTAATAAGAAATGATGAACAGGCTGACTTCAGAAAAACCTGGAAAGACCTGTATGGTCTGATGCTGAATGAAGTGAGCAGAACCAAGAGAATGTTGTACACAATAACAGTCACACTGTGCAATGACTAATATTGATAGATTTAACCCCTCCCAGCAACACAAGGATCCAAGACATCTCCAAAGGCCTCATGATGGAAAATGTTATCCATATCCAAAGAAAGACTAAGGAGTTTGAATGCAGATCGAAGCATACTATTTGCTATTTTTTTTCCTTCTATTGAGTTTTGTTTCCTCTTTCTGGTGGTTCCTCCTATTGATTCTAATTCTTACTTACAACATCACTAATATGAAAATAGTTTAATAGGAATGTATATGTATAGCCTATATCAGATTGCACGGTGTCTTAGGGAGGGTGGTGGGGAGGGAGAGGAAAATTTTAAATTCAAAAGCATATGGAAGTGATTGTTGATAAATCAAAATAAATTAATAAAAATAAATATTAAAAAAAAGAAACTCCCAATCAACCCTACCATGCCAGGTTAACTATCACGCTGTATTTCTCCTCCCTTCTCTGTGAAAATCCTGGAAAAAGCCCATTATATATATATTCTGCCTCCATCTTTTTTCCTCTCACTTTCTTCTTGACTGCCTGCAAAATGGCTTCCAACCTGACCCAATTGCAATTGCTCTCTCCAAAGTGACCAATGATCTACTAATCACCAAATCTATTGGCCAATAACCAAATCTAATGGCCTCATTTCAATCCTCATCCTTCTTGACCTCTCTGCAGCATTTGATGGTTAACCACCTTCTCCTGAATGCTATTCCCCTCTGTTTTTGTGACACTGTTCCCTCCTGGTCCTCCTCCCAATCTGACTGTTCCTTTTTAGTCAGGTCAGTCAGTCAACACGGTGTTAAGTGCTGTGGTTACAAAGAATGACAAAAAACACAGTAACTGCTCTCAAGGAACTCACAGTATAATAGGGGAAAACAACATGCAAACAATTATGTACAACCCCACCCCCTACACACACACACACACACACACACACACACACACACACACA